CCCCCCCCCCGGCCAGGTTCCACGGGGCAACCGTTGAAGCATCTGCATGCGGCGAGTCCGGGTGCGTGGTGGGTCTCTGCTCACGGGCAGGGGCAGGCCGGGGGCAGGGGGCCGGGTTTTCTCATGTGCAAAGCTGCAGTGTCCAGAAATGTGCTGAGCGCAAGAGTGCTACAACCCTGACTCCTGCGACGGCTGGAGCCCCTGCTGGGAAGGGGCGGGGGGAGTTAGAGCAGGACTCGACCCCCCACTGTCCCCTCCCCCCAGGCTGCCTTATGGCGAGTCAAAATGACAAATGGGGTCCTGACTCTCAGCCCCATCCAGAGATGGGGATAGACCCCAGGGGTTCTGGCTCCTAGATCCCCGCCCCCCCCTCCCAGAGCTGGGGACAGACCCCAGGGTCCTAGCACCTAGATCCCCGCCCTTCCCCTCCCAGAGCTGGGGACAGACCCCAGGGTCCTAGCACCTAGATCCCCGCCCTTCCCCTCCCAGAGCTGGGGACAGACCCCAGGGCTCCCAGCCCCTCTCTCTGGCTTCTAATTCCTTTCCAGCCCAGCTCTGCCTCATTTCTCTTCTAAACCCTGCCCCCCCCCCAAAAAAAAAACATGGGCAGGAGGCAGTGAGCACTTGCTGGGTGGGGTTTGGCTGTGGGGGCTGGAGCAGGAGGGGAGTGGGGGCGACAGGGAAGGGCTGCAGGGCAGAAGGCTCCTGGGCTGTTGTGGAGCCTGGCCCAGCCCCCCCCTTACCTGCGTGGCGGTCGAGGTGGAGAACTCAGAGTACTTGGGGCCCGAGGCTGGCTGTGGGGGGAGCTCCCAGCAGGGGGCGCTGTGGGGAATGGGGCCCGAGGCTGGCAGGGGGGCCAGGTACCCTGTTGCCGGTGCTGGAGGTGCCGGTGAGGAAGACGGTGTAGGCGATGAAGAGCGCCAGGCAGAGGTGCAGGTGGATGGTGGTGCGGGGGCCCTTGAGGGCGCGGCAGAAGAGGAAGGTGACAATGGACAGCAGCAGGCACAGCAGCGAGATCACCAGCCCCTCCTGGGTGATGACGTCCAGGGTCCAGTCCTGTGCCGGGGTGGGGTGAGGGGGTTAGTCAGGGTCCCCCCCACACAAGGCAGCAGCCAGGCCGGGCTTTAGGGTACAGCTGGACTAGCCTGTCGGCCTCGCTCTCCGCCACGGCTGGGAGAGCCCCCTAGTGGCGACATCGGGCAGCCTGTGGGAACCAGTGTCTGGCTGGGTCCAGCAGCCCAGGTAGATTCGATGCTGCCCAGACTGCCCCTCCCTCCCCCACAAGGGGCTGACCCACAGACCCAGGGCCATAGGAAGCCGAGGGGCTCTAGGGTCACCACCACCCAAGGGGGAATCCCTGACACCGACTGCTGCAGGACGGGGTCGCCAGAAAGTGCAAGGGGCCGGGGCTGTTCCCCTGTAGCAGAGAGCAGAGCACCCCCGCCTGGCGGGAGGGAGCCCCTGCCCGGGAGGGAGCTGCTTTTACACCAGACAGATGCGCTTGTGGCTAAGGTGCTGCAGCTCAGGACTCTTGGGTTCTACCAGCTCTGGGAGGGGAGCAGGGCCTAGGGTCAGAGCAGGGGGCTGGGGGTCAGGACTCCTGGGTTCAATTCCCAGCTCTGATGTCACCTCCCCATGTCCCCTTGAGAGAGCCATTTAACCCCTCCCTGCCTCTGTGCGATGGGGATGGGGACGGGGACGCTCCCTGCCCTGCAATGCAATGGCGTGAGCCCCCTGCCCCTGCTGCCTGGCCAGGTGGGCAGACACGTCAGTCGCTGCTACCTGGGGAGTCTCCCTGTGCCCTTTGGGGGGTGGCTGCTTGTGCCGCTGATCAGATCCAGGGCCCCGCCCGCCGGTGGGAAATGGGTTTACTCTGGGAGGAATCTGGAGTGACTCCTGCTCTGCTGGGGAGGATTGAGGGGAAGGGCAGAACCAGCCCAGCCCTGAGGCCCCAGCGAGGGCCGCGCCTACCTCCAGCTCGTAGAAGGCCATGAGCACGGCAACGCTGGTCAGGTGGTTGCACTGGCAGCGGGTGATGGTGGCATTCAACTTCTGCAGGATGCAGCCGTGGGTGGCCCAGCGCCTGCTGTCAGGCTTCCAGTAGGCGCAGAGGAGGCGCAGGTCAGTCTTATTCTCCTGGGGACAGAGAGACACTTGGTGCATGGGGGGCAGGAGGCAGGTGGGGGCTGGCTGGGGCCGTACAGAGGGGCAGGACTCCCCAGGCCCCGAGAGGGCAGGTTGGGGGGCTAAGAGGGGCTGGGCTGGGGGCACAGAGCATCAGTTTGTCCCTGGGTGGGAGGCGGATTTGCCTGCTGCCCGGGGTGGGGGGTGTTACTAGAGATGGGCCCAGGCTCTGCCCCCCATTGTCCCAGGCTCTCCTCCCCCCATGCCCAGCCCAGGGGCTCACCGGCACCAGGTTGCTGAAGCAGATGCTGACAGAGAGGCCAAGCGCCTGGGTCACTGATGAAGGCCAACACCACCGGAGACAGCACACGGTAGCTGGGCCACCCCGGCTCCTGCGCCCACTTCCCTGTCTGGCTGATCTTGTCAAACTCAGGCGCCTCCACCCGCCCAGCACCTTCCAGGATGGGGCTTATCCCCTGGTATGTCAGCAGCCCGGCCAGCGTGAAGCCTGCGAGAGACAGAGGAGACGGATGCAATGGGGGACAGGAGGGGCCCTGGGGCTGCTCGGGGTGCTACCCCCAATGCCCTGGCCATGCCCCATCCCCCTGCATACCCCAGCCTGGTGCTAGGAGGCGCTCTGTGCTGCTGATCCCAATGCCCTGGCCATGCCCATCGCTATACACACCCCAGCACAGGCAATGACCACATACCTTCATTTTTCTGCCCTGGGGCTCCGGCCCACTTTAATTCCATGCATCACGGTCTCCTGGCTCTGGTTCCCAGCCTGCCTGACCACCAGCCCCAGCTCTGCAACCACAATGCCAGCCAGGGCTCACAACAGAGAACATGGGAGGAAGCCTGTAGCTAGGCAAGGTGCTTTCCTGGCTGTGGGGGGAGCTCCCAGCTACTCCAGTCCCAGCCTCTCCCAGCAGGGGGTGCTGTGGGGAGCACAGGCTGCGGGTAATGAAAGCCCGAGTGGAAATGCAGGGGCCAAGTGGCCAGGTGCTGACCTCTGCCGTTGGTGGATGCGATGCTGATCGTGCTGTCACGCAGGGTCGGGGCCAGCGTTCTCAGCAGCATCTCCACTGTGGCCATTAGCTCCGTTGCGATCCGGTGTCTCCGCTCCACGCTCTCGCTCTGCTGCCCGACCAGATTTATCTGCTTCTTCAGAATATCCAAGAAGCCCTGGCCAAACAAACGTGGGGGGTGTTGGTGTCACAGTGCCTGAGCCCCTGCCGCGCCCTCCAGTCCCAGATTGCTAGTCCTCCACTGCCTTCCCACAATCCCCCTGAAAGGAAAGACAAGTTCTCCTGCAATTCACATCGCTGCCTGGGAGGTCAGACTAGATAATCACAATGGTCCCGTCTAGCCTAGGAACCTAGGAGAGCAGCTTCTTGGGCAGCGATCCACTGGAGAGGCAGGCATGGGAATTTCTGGGCAGTGCTGCTGTTTATTTATCTCCTGTTCTCAGCGCTGCATCCCTATAGATCGCCCTGAGACTAGATCCGAGTAGGAGCAGCGATTCCTCCCCCTAATGGGAACAAACCCAGCAAGGCCCCGAATTTTGACTTGGCACCTGCAGCTGCCCCTTCACAGGCTCAGCGCTCTGAGTCTCCATCTGCTTCAGTTGCTTCAGCGCCGCCTTGCAGAGATGTCCCACCTGTGCCTGGAAGCTGCCCAGGAGGTTCTGCAAAACAAGGCCCAGGCCTGCCTCAGGAAAAGAGATCACAGAATCGCAGCCCACCTCCCCCCGTCCCGAGAGGATCCCTCGGCTCAGAAGCCAGGCGCCAGAGGGAGCGCGGGCAATGTCCCGTCTGGCCCCTAGGGGGTGCACGGCGTTTGCAAGGGAGGGTGGGGGACGGCGGTTGCAAGCTGAAGCGAGTTGTAGCAGCCTGATGTTGCTGATCCTCAGGGTGAGAATCACCCCGGGGGCAAAGGCCTAGGCTGTGGCTGGACTGCAGGGGCTCCAGGGACTGGCCACTGGCTCTTTGCCCAGGGGTGAGTTTGGCCTCAGAATCCTCGTTGGGTGAGATCAGTGAAAAGCAACGTGGCACGTAAAGGGGAATCGGGGTCTATGCCCCACTCACCTTGGCTTCGGCAGAGTTGTCATCATCCAGCGGGGGGGGGGGGGGCAGGTGAGCTCTGGGGATGGAAAGGGAGGAGAAATGAGAGATGGGGGGTGGGTGGGAAATGTGGGGTCTGGCTGGGTAGGTGCATGCACCAGAGAGCAGGACTCATTCCCTCCAGCAGGAGGCAGCAGGGACACACCCAGCCCATGTCAGTGATATGGGTGTAATAGATCCTCTCCCAGCAGGAGGAGCAGTGACCCCCACACACACACACTCAGCCCCACACATGTGCGCAGCCCCTTCTCCCCATCCTCCGCCCACAAGCTGATCTCTGTGAAAGGAACCGTCCCCACTCCCCGTCCTAGAGGGACTGAGCCGCAGTGGGGTGGGGAGGGGGCTGTGGAATCATCCCAGACGTATCTCCCCCCAACTGTGCGAGGTTCTGGTGTGTGTTGGGGATGCGGGGGGAAAGACTCCAGCAGGGAGCCCCAGGCTGGTCCCACAGTGGCCTCTAGGCACAGACTGCGCCCCCTGCTGCCATCTTCCCAGGGCAGAGAATCCAGCCATGCAGCAGGAATGCAGGCACTGCTGGGGAGGGAGGGGGGAGAGACACCCGGCCCTGGCTGCCCTGCTCACCCCCTCCCCGGCCTGGCCCCTGCTCCGCTCCCAGAGCCAGACCTGGGCACACTGGTGGCTGTGGCTCTGAGATAACCGGAAACACCCCAGTGGATGGACAGGCTGGGCTGGGGGGAGGTGAGAGCCTGGAAGCTGAGCCCCCCCACCGAGGGCTGAGACCCAGAGGGACCCCGTCCATGGAGGGCAGCGGGGCTGGCGCACCATCCCAGACCAGTTCCCAGCTCGCTGCCCCCTTGGGCAGGACCTCTGCCTGTGTAACCCCAGGCCCTGCCAAGACCCCCCCGGGTGGCCCCTCCATGCCCCCAGTGGCACAACCCACCTTGGCACAGGGTCGTGTTCCCACTGGAGGGGACGTAGCCAGCCCGGCACTTACACCGGTAGCTTCCGTAGGTGTTGATACACGTGGCGTTGGGGTTGCAGATATCTGGGGTCTTGCGGCACTCGTCGATGTCTGAGAGGGGAAAACGAGGGGGGGGGTCACACACAGAACAGCTGGGAGCGCACGGGGAGTGAATGATCATGGACGCACCCCCCACCGATTGCAGGGGTTGTGGTCTGTTGGTCGGTCTGTCTGCTCCATCTAACCCCCCATTCTATTCTAGGGTGACCAGATGTCCCGATTTTATAGGGACAGTCCCGATTTTTGGGTCTTTTTCTTATATAGGCTCTTATTACCCCCCACCCCCTGTTCCGATTTTTCACATTTGCTGTCTGGTCACCCTATTCTATTCTCCTTTCTTCCCTGCTATTTGCAGTGCCGCAATCCCTGCGGCACAACCCCTCCCCCACCCCCGAGATCGGCGGGCCCAACCTTTTCCAGACCAGGACCCTGCAATCCCCTCCCTGCACCAGCCCTGACAGAGTGGGGTTAAGGCGGGGGCCCTATCAGCCAGTTAAGCTGCAAAGGGGAAGTGACTTAGCCTGCGTGCAGGGCGCTAGCTAGAAGGAAGCTCGCCTGGGAGGGGACAGGTGGGGCTTCTATAGAGCCCGAGGGCTGGGCCCAGTGGTGGGTCCCTGAGGCAAGGGGGACTAGGAAGCCCCAAGGGGGGGCTAGGAGCCCCGGAGAAAGGGTTTCACTAGCAGGCATAGGAGAGAGGGGTCTGACTTTGAAAGGCTCCCCCAGAATGGGGATCACAGCGTGACCTGGCCGGACAGCTGAGACACGGGGTAGCTGCGACTCCGGGAGCTGCAATGGTGGAAGAGAAGAAAGGGGGCGCTGAACTGGAGCTAGTCACCAGAAGGGGGCGCCATGCTCAGCGTTACAGACCCCAGCCCGATGGGTCCCCTCCCCGTTCGGGATACACCCAGCACCACCCCTCCCGTGGAGCACTAGGAGAAGGGTGGGTGGGCTGTGCCCATGGGAGTGCAGGGGAATTGGGTGCTGTCCCTTTAAACTAGTTTCTTTGCTCTCTGGTGGTGCTCATGGGGGTCTATGGCAGAAGCCCGCAGACCCCCACATGCGGCCAGGCCCTGCACGGCTGGTAAATGGGTTGTTTGGAAGCCAGCTGGATCCAGGGGATCCCCCATTCCTAACACTGCGCAATGAGCAGTGGCCCAATGTCCATTCCTGGATCCTGCTGTGACCCCCAGGCCCAGGGCCCCGTGGGGCGAATCCACCGAGCCCTTGGATGGATGACGCCAGTTCGACACTCGCTGCCGATCTGGCCTGTGGAAGCCAAAGCCGGAAGAGACCCGCCCAGCCTGACCCCCAGCCGGAGTCGCCAGCCAGTGGTTCACCAATCTGGCCCGAAACGGAGGGGACTTTACTGCCCTCGCTGGACCCTGGGGCCTTTCACCACTGTGGAGAGTCTGATCTGACAGACGGGCCCCGCCCTGCCCAGGCACAGAGAGCCCTGCCGTGATCTAATCAAACGCTGGAGGGCCGTGCACCCTCCAGGCTGCCAACACAGGTAGCGCCAGCTGTCGGACAAAGGAGGATACACGGGGGATGTCGGGGCTCCATGGTGCTGCACGGTCACTCACCCTGTGCAGGGAGTGGGGTTTTCTACCTAGGGACCCGGCCTGTACGTGCAGAGACGCACTCATTCCAGCCAGCCAGCCCGCCCCTGAGGAGCCTGCAGTCCTGTCTGGGGCAATGAGAGATGGAAAAGCAGAGCTGGGACGAAAACCCCTTGAAGTCAGTGGTGCTACAGCAATTTACACCACTGGGGCTCTGGCCCCCGCTTTGTGACCATTTCACATACAGAAGCACTGAGTTTGTGGTGACGAATGGGGGACAGGCGCATCGTTAGTCATTCCTGCGGGTTCGGGGAAGCGGTTGAGCTGCTGCGGAAACGGTCATGACCAATTCTCCCAGAAATCCTAGCCAGGAACGAGTGCTGGAATTGAACATTCACCTGATTATTAACCCAACATTTCAGCCGTCCAATCAGGAAGCAGAGAAAGACCATGGGAATCAGGCATCCAATTGTATGACATCAGTGACAAGTTTTCGGAGCAAACAGTTTGCCAATAAAATCACAGACATTTATCCACCCAAACAGTCGAAGGGTCGGCTGGTTAACGAGCAAGATTGGATCAGCATGCAGAGCTGTTCTGCTGACTCCCTCTGGCGTTCAGGTCAGCAGTGGCCTATCAGTCACCATCCCTGGGGACAGATGGGTGGTGACCCTTCCTGAGGACGTAAGGGCAGGGCCACAGAAGAAAGCTAAGCTCTCCCCGATATTTATCCATAACGCTTCTGCTTCTCACAGAAATCCTTGTGGCTAAAATCCCCTTTGCCTGGACATCAGCAAACAAGTCAATCAGCGGGGAGAGTCAAGAGCGCTCACGGATCCTTCCCTTGAGCCGTGTTCCAGCAGCTTTTTCTCAGACTCCCCTTTTCTCTCTTTTCCGTGACAGCATTTTGCTATTTCCTGCTATGCCCCTTCCTCTTGGTTGTTATTTGCATAAAGGCAGCACCGAGGGCGCTGCACACACACTGCCATAAAGAGCTTCTAGTCTAAATAAACAAGAGGTGGGAGAGAAAACTGAGGTATGGAATTGCCCAAGGACACCCAGCAGTAACAGAGCTGGGACTAGAACCCAAGTCTCCTGAGTCCTAGTCTCATACCGGACCTGCTAGACCTGTCGCTTTCAGCTTGCTTCTGCCATAGAAGGCCAAGAATGTGTCTCCCCTGTCTCACCAGGCAGCTTTTACCCTCTGCTCCCCCTCACTGAGAGGAGCTTTGTGTCTCCTGGCTCACGGCCGGGAGTGCATCAGGGCTGGAAAAAATCCCTTGTTCCTTTGGCAGGAAACTCAACTTTTGCTCCATTGTTAAACCTCTTGGAAGGCAACGGGCCTACGCCATGCGTGTGAGGGGGCTTGTATGTGCCAGCTGCTAGCAAACGCTGCTGAGCAACGGAACAAGGAGAGAGCGAGTTTGTCCTGGTCTAGTGGCTGGTTCCCATAAGTAGATAACAGCCTGCTACAATGACAAGCTAATGGAGTTACTCCCTTAGCTCCAGTAGCGGAGATGTGTGCTTTCAGCAGAGACATCCTGGGGTTGATTCCTGCTGATGACCCAAGCTAGTTCCTTTGTGATGCTGGCTTCTTAGCAGCTGCTGAGGGTTAGGTT